TTTGTTTTTGTAGAAAGTTTATGAATGTAAATGTTGGGGTTTCATTTCAGAACCGTTAATTCTTCAACATGTCCAAAGTTTTCTCAGTGTTTCAACTCAAATCTTCTCATGGGTTTAATTTCTGATCACATGATTTTTCTGTAGTTTTTATCAATAAACAGAAACTGAACTTTTATTAAAACCTGCTTGTTTTTCCACCAGCTGTGTCTCCATCTTGTTCTCCCTGAATGAATCTCTCTCTGTTTGCTTGTTTCCTCTTAATGTCTCATCATGACTCCATCGTCTCCTCATTGGTTTCTGGATCCTGTGGTCAGGAAGCAGCAGCTGCTGCTCTCAGCCTCCTGAAACATCCTGAAGCTCAGCTGCTGATCTCTGATCAGCTCAGCATCCTGAAGCCTTCAGATCAGGAGTTTCTCTGCTGGTCCTGATGCTGCAGACGCTCTCAGACCAGCAGAGGCTGAACCTCACAGTCCTTCAGACCCAGAGGTCGGCATGGAAACCAGCTGATAAAGCTAAACACAGAAACATCGCTCTGCTTTTACAGGCTGATAAAGTCAGAGAGGGAGGAGAAAAACTGAGAAGGAAAACTTTAAGGAAGGAGACAAAATACTTGGTAGATCTGGATTTACTAAATGTTTAAATGTTTTTAAAAATTATGTAACCAAGTTGCAGTTTGAGGAACTTTGCTCTCATGTTGGATGAAACATTTTCTCTTTCTGTAATTTACTCTCATGTTACAATTCATATAAATCAGCAAAAAACTGTTTGGGTGAAAAAAGAAAAAGCTTTGAATGTGTCCAGAATCTTCATTATATTCATATTTTTCCAAACAAACAAACCACAGTTTAGATTTCTGACCTTCATCGTAAATTCAAAGAAACATTTCCAAGTTGAAAATATTTCCTTCATGTTTCTCTGTAACTTTAATGTCTGTAAATCAATAAACTGATTGTAAACATCTGTCTGTGTGAACTTGTGGAGTTTTAAAGGTAAATTTCTACAAACACTCTGTAAAAATCTCAGAGCTTCTGGAGAATATTTTAGTTTCTAATGTAGGTTAAGAGACTAAGAAGTAAAGATATATTTAAATATTTGCTGATATTTTTATCACATAGGAGAAAATGACAAATATTAATAAATGAGTAAATAGTGTTTTAATCTTGAAACACAGGTGGTCACGATATGAGCTGATAGTCTGTTGGATTATAAAGACTCTGATATTATTATAAAGTTTGTGTGTTGATGCATAAGAAACAAACAGCAGAATTAATCATTTTAATTAACAGAAGTTTTATAAAGCAGCACAAATTCCATAAAAAAACTGATCAGCTGATCGATCATCAGATATTTAATATTTCTGGTGGTTTTGAAGCAGCAGCTCCTCTTCATCACTTTCTATAAACTCATTTAGCCTTAATTTGGGTTTTACTTTTTGTTTTTTCAAACATGTTGTTATATAAACAACAAAACAAACCAATTTATTGTAAATTAAATAAACTTAACAGTGAATCTTAATGATGGACAAAGAATAAAACAGAACAAATGAATCTGAACTGATCCAGTCAGTCCGTCACTCAGACCTTCAGCTCTATGAGCGCTCAGTACCTAACTCCACCACCAGGTGGCGCTCCAGTATAACCCTGATGGTAGAACTGGTCTGAGGTCAGATCCAGCAGCTGGATTGGTTCTGCTGAGTCCAAACAGCTGCAGCTCATGTTGATGTTAAAAGGTTCTGCAGTGAATCAGGTTCTGACAACATGAGGGAAGAAATCTGGATTTATTTCAGCAGAACCATCAGAACCAGAACCAGTGGAGCAGAACCAGAGCTTCACTGGCTCATCAGCTGCTGCAGCTGAAAGCAGATCAGGGTTCTGGTTCCAGGTTCTGGTTTCTGGTTCTGATTGAGTCCAGAACGTGTGTTTCCAGCGGCCAGCCGGTCAGAACCAGAACATCTCTATGNGAATCAGACTCCATGTGTCCAGACTGAGGACTGAAGACTCTGGTCTGTATCTGTGTGACGTGAAAACTGAAGATGGATTCAACTCTGGAAGATGTCGACTCAACGTTACTGGTGAGAAGAAATGATAATAAAACATTTTTGTTTAATAGTTAAATTCTTAAGATCTGTTTAATGAACCAACATCTTCATCTTCTATTAATCCTCCTGGATCTCAGTTTTCATCAAATATTAATAAATATTTCTGATTTCTCTCCAGCAGCTGCTGATCAGATCCAAACTCAGAGACCAACTTTGACTCCAGAACCAGAGACGATGAAGGAGCATCATCTTCATCATTCTGGGATCAATAGCAGCTCTAATTAAAAGTTGATTTTGTGTTTCAGGAAGAGAAGAGAGGGAAACAAATATAACCTTTCAACAAATGTAGTTTGAAAATATAATGCAGATAAAAGTTTTGTTCATTTGAGTTTAGTTGATTATTGATTTTGTCGCCACAGAAACATCAGGTTAGATTTAATTAAACTATTGAATAAAATGTTAGATTGTAATGAATTAATATATTCTAATAATGATGATCAGTTTATTGTTATTGTTTCAGTTTCCTGCTTTAAATCATTTCTAAATGTTTTCTGACTTGGACGTATTGATCAGTTATTGATGGATCAGCTGATTGTTACTGATAAAGTGATTTATTATTTTCACAGGTATATTTTAATAAATATTTTTATAAATATGTTATGAAGAAAAAACACAATGAAGACTTTGAGTGTTATAAAGGTCAATATTTCATTGCTTTCAAGTGATGATTTTTATACTTATAATACATTTTAAAGATGAACATGAAACATTAAAGGTGTTTTTTAATGTAGATTTTCACCACCATTGTTTGTTTTTGTAGAAAGTTTATGAATGTAAATGTTGGGGTTTCATTTCAGAACCGTTAATTCTTCAACATGTCCAAAGTTTTCTCAGTGTTTCAACTCAAATCTTCTTATGAGTTTATTTCTAATCACATGATTTTTCTGTTTTATCAATGAACAGAAACTGAACTTTTCTTAAACTTTAATTAAAACCTGTTTGTTTTTCCACCAGCTGTGTCTCCATCTTGTTCTCCCTGAATGAATCTCTCTCTGTTTGCTTGTTTCCTCTTTAATGTCTCATCATGACTCCATCGTCTCCTCATTGGTTTCTGGATCCTGTGGTCAGGAAGCAGCAGCTGCTGCTCTCAGCCTCCTGAAACATCCTGAAGCTCAGCTGCTGATCTCTGATCAGCTCAGCATCCTGAAGCCTTCAGATCAGGAGTTTCTCTGCTGGTCCTGATGCTGCAGACGCTCTCAGACCAGCAGAGGCTGAACCTCACAGTCCTTCAGACCCAGAGGTCGGCATGGAAACCAGCTGATAAAGCTAAACACAGAAACATCGCTCTGCTTTTACAGGCTGATAAAGTCAGAGAGGGAGGAGAAAAACTGGAAGGAAAACTTTAAGGAAGGAGACAAAATACTTGGTAGATCTGGATTTACTAAATGTTTAAATGTTTTAAAAATGCATGTAACCAAGTTGCAGTTTGAGGAACTTTGCTCTCATGTTGGATGAAACATTTTCTCTTTCTGTAATTTACTCTCATGTTACAATTCATATAAATCAGCAAAAAAATGTTTGTGTGAAAAAACAAAGTTTTGAATATGTCAAAATTCTTTATTATATTCATATTTTTCCAAACACACAAACCACAGTTTAGATTTCTGACCTTTATGATGAATTCAAAGAAACATTTCCAAGTTGAAAATATTTCCTTCATGTTTTTCTGTAACTTTAATGTCTGTAGATCAATAAACTGATTGTAAACATCTGTCTGTGTGAACTTGTGGAGTTTTAAAGGTAAATTTCTACAAACACTCTGTAAAAATCTCAGAGCTTCTGGAGAATATTTTAGTTTCTAATGTAGGTTAAGAGACTAAGAAGTAAAGATATATTTAAATATTTGCTGATATTTTTATCACATAGGAGAAAATGACAAATATTAATAAATGAGTAAATAGTGTTTTAATCTTGAAACACAGGTGGTCACGATATGAGCTGATAGTCTGTTGGATTATAAAGACTCTGATATTATTATAAAGTTTGTGTGTTGATGCATAAGAAACAAACAGCAGAATTAATCATTTTAATTAACAGAAGTTTTATAAAGCAGCACAAATTCCATAAAAAAACTGATCAGCTGATCGATCATCAGATATTTAATATTTCTGGTGGTTTTGAAGCAGCAGCTCCTCTTCATCACTTTCTATAAACTCATTTAGCCTTAATTTGGGTTTTACTTTTTGTTTTTTCAAACATGTTGTTATATAAACAACAAAACAAACCAATTTATTGTAAATTAAATAAACTTAACAGTGAATCTTAATGATGGACAAAGAATAAAACAGAACAAATGAATCTGAACTGATCCAGTCAGTCCGTCACTCAGACCTTCAGCTCTATGAGCGCTCAGTACCTAACTCCACCACCAGGTGGCGCTCCAGTATAACCCTGATGGTAGAACTGGTCTGAGGTCAGATCCAGCAGCTGGATTGGTTCTGCTGAGTCCAAACAGCTGCAGCTCATGTTGATGTTAAAAGGTTCTGCAGTGAATCAGGTTCTGACAACATGAGGGAAGAAATCTGGATTTATTTCAGCAGAACCATCAGAACCAGAACCAGTGGAGCAGAACCAGAGCTTCACTGGCTCATCAGCTGCTGCAGCTGAAAGCAGATCAGGGTTCTGGTTCCAGGTTCTGGTTTCTGGTTCTGATTGAGTCCAGAACGTGTGTTTCCAGCGGCCAGCCGGTCAGAACCAGAACATCTCTATG